TCATTGTGAGAATGCTTGCTACCCAAAACCTAGCACTGCGTGGCACTTCAGATCAGCTGTATGTGCCAAACAATGGAAACTTCCTTAAAATTGTGGAGCTGATGGCTGAGTTTGATGCTGTACTCCAGGATCATCTAAGAAGAGTCACCACCCAAGAAATGAACAAACACCACTACCTTGGAAAAACAATTCAAAATGAGATCATACAGTTAAAGGCAACAAAAGTCAGACAGAAGATTGTGGCAAATCTGAAGTCAGCAAGATATTACTCTGTTATTCTGGACTGCACGCCTGATATCAGCCGTATGGAACAAATGACTTTAATGGTGCGTTTTGTAACAACAACAGAACCTAGTGAAAATATCCCTGCAATGGTGCCTGTCAGAGAGCATTTTCTAGAATTTATTGACATTGACGATACTATAGGAGCTGGTATGACAAATGTGCTTCTTAAAAAGCTTGGAAGATACGGGAATTGTGATTGCTGACACGAGAGGTCAGGGCTACGATAATGGTGCCAACATAAGAGGAAAGAACAGAGGAGTGTAGACACAGATCCGAAAGTTAAACCTCAAGCTTTTTTTTTTTTTTGTCCCATGCAGTTCTCATTCATTGAACTTGGTAGTCAGTGATGCAGCATCAGCTTCTAGTGAGGCTGCTGAATTTTTTAATGTAATTCAAAGCATCTATGTATTTTTCTCTGCATCAACTCATCAATGGCAAATTTTGAAGCAACATCTGGGAACATCTTCTCTGACACTGAAACCACTGAACTTCATGGGTAAAATATTTCCAAGTTTCAGGAAAAAATTAACTACAGTAGAACTTCAGAGTTATGAACACAAGAGTTACAAACTGACCAGTCAACCACACACCTCATTTGGAACTGGAAGTACACAGACAGGCAGCAGCAGAGGGGGCGGGGGGAAGCAAATACAGTACAGTAATGTTAAATGTAAACTACTAAAAAATAAAGGGAAAGCAGTATTTTTCTTCTGCATAGTAAAGTTTTAAAGCTGTATTAAGTTGTAAACTTTTGAAAGAACAATCATAACGTTTTGTTCAGAGTTCCGAACATTTCAGAGTTACAAACAACCTCGATTCCCGAGTTGTTTGTAACTCTGAGGTTCTACTGTAGTGTTTACAAGCAATCTACCCAAATGACTAAAGATCTGTGCTCAAATAAAAGATTCAAGTCTCAGTGCTAGTTAATAATCATCTGAGGATGGTAATTGGTTCATCTTTGGGATCTAGCATTATCTACTTGTATATTTATCTTAAGCAAAACTGATCTCCTGTACCAATATTTGAGATGGCATTTAGCTAGGGCTTGTTCACAGTGACATTAAAATACTGGCTCGTACTGTGGATTACTAAAGCTAATAGTATTTTCAAGATAGAATTGTACACACAGTAGCTCAATCATCTCATTTCCATGCAGAAATTGCCACTTGTGTTAGACATGTTTTCAGACTGCTCTCTTATTACTTACGTGCCCCCTTTATTCATTTATTTAACTGAACTAAATACTGAACTCCTAGAGGAAATCTGATGTAAAGAATTGTTTGTTTACATTAAAAATATCACTTCATTTCACCTCTTGACTCCTTTTCCTGTTTACATGGGAGTGGAGGTGACTACGATTCTTTGCCACTCTTTTCTGGTCCATGGGACAGGTCTTGGGGGTCCAGTCCTTTTCTCTTAAAACTTCTCTTGACAGAGTCTCTCCATTGTAACTGTGGTCTTGCTCACCTTTTCTTGGTGTCCTCTTTTTCCCATGCTTTCTTTGCTGGTTGTTTTTCTCCCATTCTTATCACATGTCCAGCCTACCTCAAATGTGCACATTCCAACTTATCAATCACTATTATATTTCTTACAGTAAAAATATATTGGAAATAAATATCACAGCATATTTGTACACCAGCATTGGCCTAAATTAACACAGATATAAAGAAATTCATTATTTTTTCAGATCAACTTAGAGAGTGGTTAATCAATTTAAAATAAAAGTGCTAAGATTAGTTGCGTTGTTTTTGGCATGACTGCGACCATCATGTCCACCACTAATAAGTGTGGTTATGTTAAGATACGCACATTTCTAGGACATCATGAGGTATCGCCCAGTGCTTTTAATTTCACATGGTGTAATTAGTTTACAATAACCATATCCCCTGAGGTAGTTGAACAGTTTTGTGAAAAATAACTTTAGTGTTGAATAAATATTTATGTGAAGGTTATTGTGATCATTGCAAAATCCTGATCACAGCAAGAAGGCTTCAAATGAGAGAAATTTGCTGTAATCAATTTAGTGCATTACAGACTTGGGGAAACAATTAGGAGGTTCCTTCAGTTTTACAGAGTAAGGTTACAAAACAGTTAGCTCCTTCCGCTGCAGTATGTCGATGTAATAAAAATGGCTTGCCATACCATTAACTTGACATTGTATTTAAGAAAAGCATGTAAATTTTTCCCACCCATCCTGCTTTGGGTATCCTTAAAATAGCCTCACAGTCACCCATTGTAGGTGCAGTCAGACAGTTTTTACCTGTGTGGCCCCCTATCAGGTAAAATAGGCTGAAGTTCAGTGGGATGTTTTAAAATACCCTGTTTCACCGGCGAGTTGGAGATATACTGTCTTTGTTTTATGCATGTTTTGTTTTCTCTGGTTCTGAAGTGAAATCAGTGTCCTTTAATGACTGGATAATGAAGGCACATTCCTGTTAACTTTGTTGTTTAGAGAGAGCATTTGTCTATATATCTGTAGTTAATAGTCTCACTTCTCAGTACAATAGAGGTGCTGTAAAATGTATTTGCCTGATTTAAACTCTGTGTTTCTTTCCTACAAGTTTGGAAAATCAATTCATCCACATGCAAATGCATGGACACACTCTCAAAAGCTAGGTCTCCTTCCCTCAATTAATCCTCTCTACACTCACTTAGTCTTATTTAAATTAGTGAAATTGGAAATCTTTGCCAGACACTGCAGTGACCTTCCTTCATGTCCGTTTTTCTTGGATCTCTTTCTAAATGGCTGTCAGTTTCTCTCTCCCTCCTTAATCTGAGTACTTAGAATTAGTTTTGAAAACTCAGTAATATAGTATTGTCCACAAAAACAGTATATTTACACTTAAAAAAAACAAGAAAAATTCAGTAGCTAATAAAATGTATTCCTGTCCCCCCTGCCCCAGATCTCTTTGCTTGTATCATGTTTCCCTGTCCCCCACACTTTGTCTATTTTGCGTCTCTGCAAACTTAGCTCTTTGAGGTGGGAACTGCTTCTTCCTCTGTGTTTGCACAGTGCCTAGCACATTTTGGGTCATATGGTAATATAAAAAATAAATAAAATTAATTCAGATTGTAGAGTAAGTCACATAGCTTTTGGTTTTTAATTAAGTAATAATAGTGCTCAGGCTTGGCTTCTGATTCCACAGTGACCACATCACACTCCAGAGTAACCTTCAAGGTAACTTAAGACAGTGGCTGTATAACATCGTCTTGTCCTTGTTAGGTCATTTCATCATTCTCAATGTCTGTGTCCACACACATGTCACATTCACTGAACACAGTCAATCCATTTAGCTCAGGTTCTTAGAATTAACTCCCCCACGTCTTTTCCTGCTTCTTCCTTTTAAGTATCACCTCTGTTAGCTAGGTACCGATTTGCTGATGCTATGTCTTCCTGCAGAGGCTCAGACCCCAGGCACATGATTAGACTTACAAGTCTTCAGTGCATGCCTCAGAAATAGTTTTAACAATAATAACACCTACCTCTTCTATAGCACTCTTCATCTGCAGCTCCCAAAGTACATTACAAAGGAGGTAAGCATCATTATCCACATTAGGAAACTGAGGCACAGAGCGGGGAAGTGATTTGCCTAAGGTCAGTCAGCAGGCCAGTAGCAGAGCTGGGATGAGAATGCAGGTCCCCTGAATCCCAGTCCAGTTCTCGCCATTAGGCTGCACTACCTACAATATGATTGTCGATTTATCCAAAATGCCCTCTCTCTCAGTAATTCAGCTACCTAAATCAGATCATGACTGTGCACCATGTCCATGCCTGTAAATGCACCACAGGCCTTCCTGGTCAGGTGGGTTGATTCTGTTAGTTACATACCCGTAAATTGTCCAGCTACCCTGCCTGGGTATAAATGTTTTCAGGATTAAATGTAAAATAGAAATATGTCACTGCATCTGAAAATACTAACAATGATTTAAATATGCGGGATCTTTATGGACTAGTAACTGATCAGAGCCTGTATAATTGATCCAGTTACTTCTTGTTGTCACAGCAACAGCATCTTCTCATTATCTAACCTCTGCAGCATCTCATCCTCATGTTGCAGTTTTGCTAGCTCCAACTCACTTGCTGTTGTCAGGGCTTACATGTTTTATACTATCAGCTGTTTTGTTTCTTTATCCACCTACTTGCCTTGGTCTTCAAATATTTATATCCAGAATATGGTAGCATACAATAAGGAGTGTGATATTGTGAGTCATATGAGTAGTAAATTAATGTTTGGATCGTAGGCAATTTCTTTTGTGCATTGAGTACCTTTCTAACTGAGAAGATTTTCACTTTTAAACTTTGATTTAAAAAAATAGTAATATGTATCTTCTTGTAAATGCAACGTTGTTGTAGCCATATTGGTCACAGAATATTAGAGAGACAAGATGGGTGAGGTAATATCTTCAATTGGACCAACTTCTGTAGTTGGTCCAATAAAAAATATTACCTCGTCTCTCTTATTGTAAAGATATTTAACAGGATTTCCTTGTTTAAATCTACAATTACATTCAGCATATTAAGGAAAGTGATTAAAACACTGGGAGACCCTTCAAAAATGTCACCTCCTGTTTCAAAGTACACTTTGAAGCACATTAATTTGTGAAGCTCTTTCATTAGAGAACTCATTTGATCACATTTCAAATTCCAGTGATTTTCACTCCTTGAATGTGACATTGAAGTGTAAGAATTTTTTTCTCCCTTTTTTCCCCATTAGATCAGGAACAGTCCATATGTCCTCTCAGTGCATCTGTCCTGCATCGCTCCAGCAGTAAGGAGTTTGCTTTCTATCTTCCACTGAAGCAGACGCAAGGTATGTGGCTTCCTGTTTATATGCTATGTGGTTCTACAAGGTGTCATCTTTTATAGACCTTGAAATATATAGGAAGTTACATTGTGTATATAAACATATTTTTAAAAGTTTGAGAAGTTTGCACTATGATATAGTGAGTTTGACTTCACTGGGACAAGGAATTCATCCTAAATCAGTGAGCCAGTGACCAACACCTTATACTTCATAGGAAAGAATTACACCCATTCCCGAAACTGGGGCTTGCCAATTGTGCAGTGCTGTATGTGGTAGAAATAGACATTCCTTCCTTACCCTGTAATAATCGTATTACACCATGAAGCATGACATTTGATTATCCTATTTTAGGAAGGAAGGCTACAAATGATGTTGTTGATATGTAAAAGAAACAAGAGGTTACTGCATTTTTTTCTAGAATGTGGCTAACTAGCCAAAAAAATGAGTGTAAGACCCCTTGCAAAATAGTGTCATTGTTTACCTGAAGCAAGTGCTTTTAATGGCGGAGGATAAATTCATTTAAGGTAAACCAAGCTATCCTATATTGAGCCAAATGGACAAGGTTCATTTTACGTCTGTGAAGATTAGTAATAGCATTATACAAAGATATGTGACCTAGTAGGTGGAAAAAGCATCTAGCTGGTAGATCTCCAATTAAAATGTAAACTGAAGGGATTTAAAAAAAAATGAAAAACAAAAGAAACAAAAACTGACCCCAAACAACCTGTTTAGATTCCCAAATTAGTAACATAATATGTGTGTGGAATAAATACAGATCTGTATATCTGAAAAGCAGTTCCTTCTTCATGTACATGAAAAGTTATTAGTTTAATGTATTTCTCTTGCAACAACACATGGTTTCCCTAATACAGCGTAAGGGAGAAGAAGAAGAAATTTCAATGAAAAAGGCTCTTTTTAGACAGGGCCGGCCTTAGGGGTGGGCCACCCAGGTGACTGCCCAAGCGTGCCATGGTCAAGTGGGCACCATGTGGCAGCGCAGAGGTGCACACTGCTGGTGTAGTCAGAAGCTTTTCCTGGCTGGCAGAAGAGCGCCACATTGGGGGGCACCCAGATTTCTCCCTGCTTCCTCCTGTCAGAGGAAAAAGGGGAGGGGGAGCGGTGATGCACAGATACTGCTGCCCCCCCACCAGAGCTGCTGCTCTCCTGTCCTCCCCTTTATGCAGCCCAGGTGGGGAAAGTCACCTGGATGCAGGCAGCCCTGACATCACTCCTTCCCCCTCCCCCCGCCCGCCCCCACAGCCCTCTAGGGGTGCGCAGAGGAGCAGAATTCGAGGGAGGGAGGGAGCAGCAATGACAGCTGCTCTACATCAAGGTCAGTTTAACCCAAATGGACGCAGGAGGGGGAGTGCAGGGTTTGGGACGAAGGAGGCACAGTGTAGGGGTTGGGGCAAAGGGGAGGTGGGGAGCTCACGGGGCAAATGGGGGGCACCCATGGGGGCCAGGGGTAATGGGGGGCGGCACCATGCCCATGGGGGCCTGGGTGCCAAAATACAAGTTTGCCCAGGGTCCTATTTTCCCTTAAGACTGGCCTTGTTTTTGATAAATTATCAGTTTAAAGGGATCAGTTAAGGAGAAAGCAGGAGAAAAGAATTTCCCGAAGTAAAATAATTTAACAAGTGAAAGTTCCCCTTATTTTAGTTCATGTAACAGTAAAGAAAGCAAGAAATAGCTTTTACAATCATTCAGTTGTATTTAAGCATGTATCTTCCTTCATCCCTTCTTTTTCCCCAAGGCACTTTGTCCATTGAAAGCTATCGTTTTCTATATTTTCCTACAGTGTTTGATATTTTCAACTATTTCAGAGAAATCTGGAAGCCAGAAAAGACGGTTACTCACCGTTGTAACTGTTGTTCTTCGAGATGTGTTGCTCATATCCATTCCAGTTAGGTGTGTGCGCGCCGCGTGCACGATCGTCGGAAGATTTTTACCCTAGCAACACCCGGTGGGTCGGCTGTGGAGCCCCCTGGAGTGGCGCCGTTATGGCGCTGGATATATACCCCAGCCGACCCAGCGCCCCCTCAGTTCCTTCTTGCCGGCTACTCCGACAGTGGGGAAGGGGGGCGGGTTTGGAATGGATATGAGCAACACATCTCGAAGAACAACAGTTACAACGGTGAGTAACTGTCTTTTCTTCTTCGAGTGCTTGCTCATATCCATTCCAGTTAGGTGACTCCCAAGCCCCACCTAGGTGGCGGGGTCGGAGTGAGACATTGCTGTGTGCAGAACCGCTGACCCGAAAGCAGCATCGTCTCTGGACTGTTGCACCAGCGCATAGTGAGTAGCAAATGTGTGGACCGATGACCACACTGCAGCTTTACAAATGTCCTGGATTGGTACTTGAGCCAGAAAGGCAGTCGAGGAGGCCTGGGCCCTCGTGGAATGAGCAGTGAGGCGTGGCGTCGGTACACCGGCCAGGTCGTAGCAAGCACGAATGCAGGACGTAATCCAAGAGGACAGGCACTGTGAAGAGACCGGTGAGCCTTTCATCCGGTCGGCCACCGCAACGAAGAGTTGCGTCGTTTTCCTAAATGGCTTTGTACGGTCAATGTAGAAAGCCAGGGCCCTGCGAACGTCCAAAGAATGTAAACGTTGGTCTTGATGAGTAGCGTGCGGTTTCGGATGGAAGACCGGAAGAAATATATCTTGGTTTACGTGGAAAGGTGACACCACCTTTGGAAGAAAGGCAGGGTGGGGGCGAAGCTGCACCTTGTCCTTGTGGAACACCGTGTAAGGGGGCTCGGATGTCAGCGCCCTGAGTTCCGAGACGCGTCGTGCTGAGGTGATGGCTACGAGGAAGGCTGTCTTCCAGGATAAGTAGAGGAGTGAGCAGGTCGCCAATGGTTCAAACGGAGGCCCTGTGAGCCTGGAGAGGACGAGGTTGAGGTTCCACGTCGGAACCGGCTGTCGTTGCTGTGGGTACAGCCGGTCTAGGCCCTTGAGGAATCTAACGACCATCGGGTTAGAGAAGACCGAGGACGTGAGTTCTCCTGGGTGGAAAGCGGAAATGGCGGCGAGGTGAACCCTAATTGAGGATGTCGCCAAGCCTTGGTGTCTTAGGGACAGAAGGTACTCCAGTATCAAGGGGATAGGAGCCTGCGCGGGAGACGTAGCTCGTTGCTCACACCAACAGGAGAACCTCTTCCACTTGGCTAAATAAGTGGTCCGCGTAGAGGGCTTTCTACTTCCCAGCAGGACCTGTTGGACGGCCTGGGAGCATTGCCGCTCTGACCGACTCAACCATGAAGCATCCACGCCGTGAGGTGGAGTGACTGCAGGTCGGGGTGACACAGCCGGCCGTGGTCCTGAGAGATGAGATTCGGAGTCAAGGGGAGCGTGATGGGCCTCTGTACTGACAGCTCCAGCAGTGTGGTGTACCAGTGCTGTCTCGGCCAAGCGGGAGCGACTAGAATTACCCGTGCATGGTCCCTGCGGATCTTGAGCAGCACCCTGTGGACCAGCGGGAATGGAGGAAAGGCGTAGAACAGATGGTCTTTCCATGCCATGAGGAAGGCGTCCGACCGAGAGCCCGGGGCTCGCCCGTGTAGGGAGCAGAATGCCTGGCACTTCCTGTTGGTCCGAGACGCGAATAGGTCGATCTGGGGAAACCCCCACCTTTGGAAGACGGAATAAATGATGTCCGGGCGAATCGACCACTCGTGCGTCTGGAAGGACCTGCTGAGACGGTCCGCCAGCGTATTCTGGACTCCAGGCAGGAATGACGCTGTGAGATGAATCGAGTGGGCGATGCAGAATTCCCACAGGCGAATGGCCTCTTGGCATAGGGGAGATGAGCGAGCTCCGCCTTGCTTGTTGATGTAAAACATGGCCGTGGTGTTGTCGGTGAGAATCAGCACGCAATGGCCTTGTAGGAAGTTGAGGAAAGCCTGGCAAGCCAGGCGCACCGCCATCAGCTCTCGGACGTTGATGTGCAGGGCTAGTTGGGACGCGGACCACAGGCCTTGGGTATGGTGCTCCCCCAGGTGAGCGCCCCAGCCTAGAGATGAAGCGTCCGTAACTAGGTGGAGGGAGGGCTGTGGGGCGTGAAAGGGTACTCCTGCACAGACCGCTGTGCGATCCGTCCACCAGGCGAGAGAGGCCAAGACCGAGGCCGGAACCGTGACCACCATGTTCAGGTCGTCTCGATGAGGACGGTAGACCGATGACACCCAAGCCTGCAGTGGGCGAAGTCGCAGTCTGGCGTGCCTGGTTACGTATGTACACGAGGCCATGTGGCCCAGAAGGACAAGGCATGTTCTTATGGTGGTAATTGGAAAGGCCCTGAGACCTTGAATGACGCCTGAGATGGTATGGAATCGGCTGCCTGGCAGTATGGCTCGGGCACGTCTGGAGTCCAGGATTGCTCCAATGAACTCTATCCTCTGAGTTGGTACTAGAGTGGACTTCTCTCTGTTGAGTAGAATGCCCAGCTCGTGGAAAGTGTTTGTCACTATGCGGACATGAGCCTGCACTTGGTCTCTGGTGCGGCCGCGTACCAACCAGTCGTCCAAGTACGGGAACAGCTGTATCCCTTGTCGACGAAGGAAGGCCGCGACGACTGCCAGGCACTTTGTGAACACCCTGGGAGCCGAGGACAAGCCGAAGGGAAGGACTGCGAATTGGTAGTGTACCCTGTTTACCACGAATCGCAGGAAACGTCTGTGGGGCGGATAAATTGCTATGTGAAAATAAGCGTCCTTCATGTCGAGGGCGGCGAACCAGTCTCCAGGATCCAGTGAAGGGATAATGGTCCCCAATGACACCATGCGGAACTTCAACTTTACTATGAATTTGTTGAGTCCGCGTAAGTCTAAGATGGGCCGTAGACCCCCTTTTGACTTGGGTATCAGGAAGTAGCGGGAGTAAAACCCCCTGCCCCTTAGCTCCGATGGAACCTCCTCTATGGCCCCCATAGCGAGGAGCCCAAGAACCTCCTGTGTAAGGAGTTGCTCGTGAGAAGGGTCCCTGAAGAGGGACGGGGAGGGGGA